ACCTCCATCCATGGACATTTCAAACAGTCACTTAGATCATTCAACCTCTGTCACAACTCACGAAACCATCTTACCAGCACCACCCGAGACAGAGATCTTCACCACCGATGGAGATCGCGAACCAATGGACAACTATGTTCAAGCCTTTGGTGCCCACAAGTACGGTTACAACATTCGCAAAGGAAACTCGACCACAGGCCTTATCTGTCATTACCATTGTCACCGAGGTGGCTTTCCCGCGGCACCCAAGAAGGAAAGTACTCGACCCACCAGATCGGCACGAATCGGCTGCAATTTTAAGCTGACCGCACGACCCAATCACGCGAAGAAGTCCTGGCTCCTTATACACACTCATCTTGGACACAATCATCTGCCCAACTACAATGTCAAACCGAGGAAAAGAAAAGAAAAACCTACAGCCGTAACCACTCCTCATCCTGAACAGTCCCAATCGACCCCATCAACCATTGATGAGGCTGCTGTGAGTCATGAGCCTCTCGCTCCCGCTTCGAAACCTTCTGATCACGACCAACATCCTACCGATATACCCGACTTACAAGCGAATTTGGTTCACTTCGTGGCACGGCTCCAAGCGTTATCTCCTAACACACAGAAATACAAGATTGAACAAATCAACCATATTCTCAAGGAAGAACCTCTTAATTGTCGACCCAGCGAGGAACACGAACTTGATTTGTCTGTAAGTACGATGTAAACCCAATTCGATTATATTTGAGCTGATCTAACCTTTCACGTTTCAACCTTTCACGTAGATCAATCAAATGTTCGATCAATTCTTAGGGGCTTTTTCCGAATCCGACTCAGCGGACAACTCATTCATTCAAATTGCCAACGACCTCATCCCCAAAGACGCTACGATAACCTCACCTGAAGGCACAAACGAAGTTATAAAAGAAGCTACAACCCCACATCTCGTGGACAATGCAACAAAGTCGCAAGCAACTGAAGGTATATTTGAGCTTCACAATGATTTGATTCCGAACGACCCAAAGGACTGTTTCGAGCTCAAGACACCCAAATCAGAGGTACATCTATCATGCTATCACTGTGGAATGTAGTTACATGCGCTGACCATTTTCAATTGATATCAGCCATCCGCGATATCCCCACCCATTGAGGCTGAACCAGCCATCCCTCGTTGGATCACTACACGTCGTCAAGCAAAACTCGTCCTGAAGCCCGAAATCATCAATCCACATCTGCCAGCCCTACTGAGAAAGTACCAAATTGCCACCTGGATTGCACCTTTTGTTTGCGACGTCTGCAAAGTGAAATCCGATGGGCATTGTGGTTTTCGAGCGATATCAATTGCAATAGGGCAACCTCAGGACAACTGGCCCCACATACGCCAAGCCATGGAGGACACTCTGGTAAATCATCCCGAAACCTTCACGGATGCAGCACACGAGCAAAGGCTTTAGTTTGTCTTAGCACCCGCGAACCGAATGTTGTCTTAGAGCGACAATACTGGCTTAGCATGCCTGGATGGAGTGGTGTCATAGCATCTACGTTTGACCGTCCGGTCATTTATTATTCTCAAGCCACCAGTGTAATCACATTTCCTTACCTCTCACCGCCAAATGAAAACCCCCCGATAGTGTTATCTTTTGCAGACCTACACTTCTGCACTTTAATTCTTGATTTCACACTTCCCGATCTCCCAATACCACGCCTTTGCCCTACTTGGGTTCGATACAAGTCTGACGAAGCCTCCACTTGGCCAACAAAATGGTCGACGTTGATTGGCAAGCATGATGTTTTCGCAAACGCACGGAATGCTGTACACAAACGCCCAAGGCGCAAATGTACATTATATATTGATTGATTCATGGACTCAAAGTTGTTCGTCGGCCATTTAATCAAATCATAAACTTACGTTCTTGTCATTATTCATATGCTCACATACGTTTACCTCTTTTGTAAAAACGACATTGTATCATTTGCAAATAGCTGGTGAAGAGTTTTCAAAATAATAACTCATTGTTTGTTACGAATGCGGGTAAATATCCGCATTCGTGGAGGGCCGTCCCAGCCGTGCCAGCTCACCATCCCAGAAATGGCCCCGGGGCCAGACAATTTTGAGGTGATTTACCAATCAAACGTGAAGGTTTCATCATCACTTCTATTGTATAAAATGGCGCCACGAGCCATCTTAAAAGGATTGAACACCCAATCAAAACAACCGAAACCCGTCACCCCTCTGCAACGACAACTAGTCGAACAACGCGCCAAAGACTTGCTTCATACGGAAGCTTCTGTGGCGGCATTCCTTCGACGTAAACGAGAAAGACCAACCACCCCCGAGGACGAGCTACCGAATGATCCACCAGGCGTTCCGATTCCACTGGGTCCCAATGAACCTTTTTATTCTGACGATGAAAAAGAAGAGGATCCTGATGCCCCTGACGAAGTCTATGTGATCAACCCCAATCATTTTATGCCGGCTCTTCCACCACCTTCCGAACCCGATGAAGAAGAAGAAGACCCTGTACATAGCGCCTTGCGACGCGAGCAACATTTTGCCCAACGACTTCGCCACGAAACTTGTTGGACATGGCAACACGCTCTGATGTTGCCCATGTTTCTCCGTTGTCGCTTGGAGACATCTAATTGGGGTCAAGTCGATAGATGGAATCATGACTTTCGACAGCCTTGCAACTGTGCAGGTAAGACGGAGAGAGATGTCAACTTGGTGGATCTGACCAGTTAGTAAGCAACACCATATTCCCACATGATTGCCACTGACATAAGATGATGTTTCGATCATCAAACCAGGTAGACGGCGTGTCAAGATCAGTTTCTGCAAAAGATGCGACCCCTCCGATATGGTAAGGTTGTTGCTCATGGGTTATATTGGGACCTCCCCAGTTCGGCCCGAAACCGCATTTTCGGTTCGTCTCCTGGTGCATCACCACTCGCAGTGGCTAAACTGTGCTGTTCCTACTCAAGGCTTTTGTAAAGCCCTTGATGAAGTCCTTGACTCCCAAGGTGAGCCACTGATACTCACTGCCAGCTTGCAAGTAAGTAACCATGTCATCATTCACCAATACCCGTTCGTTGCCCACCAAACTGACTTAAGTGCCAGCCTCGAGAGTGGCATCGACCCTTTACATCAGCTATTGTCGCGTATCGGGCGATCTTACTTCAAATCCGTACTATTGAAAATCAGAAGCTTCAACTTTCAGAGCTGGGAGTTCTTGCTTCGAACTGTCCCAAGTGTTTCGGCCCTCCAGTTGGAATCACCAAAACTGAGGAAGCTGACATTCACGTATGTCTGGATGGAAATTTCCAACATAAACGGCATGCAGCTGCCAGTGTGGAAATACCGGGGTATAAACCTGCCCGACCTGATATGTTTCTGGATCCAGCTCTTGTAGACCGTATGAATCGAAAGTTGAACCGGTCAAAACCTATGGATGGTGAAGTCGTTAGTACCAGTGCTTGATGACATGCAAAAATTGACAACGAGCTAATCATATATTTTTTTAGGATCAATGCACCGAAGCGCACACCACCGCCAACAATGCAAGGGGGAAAACCCACTTTAAAAACATGGATGAGTCAGGACTACTGGCAATGGCGTGCCGCCATGACCATGTCCTGAAATACATCAATCTGATACAAACCGGAGAGAAGTACGTAACTTTATATATCAATGTTCCTTTTTTTCCTCCAGACTTCCTTACATACGCAGAGACTTTTGCTAGAGCATGTTACCCACTAGCCCTCATCGAGTGGCTTCTCGATGTATTAGAAAAGAATCGGAATCACTCCAATAAGGTAGGAGTTCTCTATGACATAGGATGTAATTTGGATAAGACCATCAAAAATGTAAGTTTTATATCATTGGCAATAGATACGGTAGATCCACACTGATTGTCCTATTCTATTTCAGCGAGAACTATTTCCCGAGGAGCTAGAACAAAATCGTTTGAGGCTTGCTACAGCTTTATTCCATTCCTACGCACACCATTGGGGATGTCAACTAGAGTACAACCCTCGACTCCTCAAATGGTGGGGCAAGTCTAATGGGGAGGGGTGTGAAAGAGTATGGTTTAAAAACTCAAAGCTCATCAAAGGCAACCGCTATGCTACCAAGCAGCGTAGACTGGTCAGTCTCGATCTTTGGACGTCACATCAGAATCTACTTCTAAGGGATCGAGCTGGTCAGCTTTATTTATTGTTTCTTTGGGTTTTTGTCCATTGTAGAAGGAGTTGATTTATTGAAAAGATTGGAAACTTTAGCTTCGTTTTTGAGTACCCAGACTAAGAAGTACATAGCCGAGCTGGCCTCGCTGCAGTCCACACTAGACAAACTGGCACAGGCCAATCCCGCTCATACTATCGAATACTTTGATGCCCAATGGGAGCGTCAGCGGAACTTACAACTAGCCGCTATGACCGTGAAAGCTAAGGAGAGACGGGAGCGACTCAAAGTTTTGCTTCAACTTGAGGAGCAATTGATAGAAGCTCGGTAAGTCAACATCTAAATGTTTGATTGCTTTAATGTCATTGATTGTTTTTATTAAATTTCTTTTTTGCTTGACCTCCGTTGACCTCAAGTCAGAAGATGAACGATCTCAACCCTCATGCCGCCCCAATTCGAACCAATCAACAACGAGACAAACTAATTGGTCTTCCCATGTCCCTAGCAAATCTCGAGGCTAAGGTGCAAGAAGTAGCCGAAGAACTGGGATTCGCCGAACTGTTGAATGTTCGACGTGGAAGTGGTAATTTATTGTCTTTCATTTGTTCCATTTCTCATTTCGCATTACCAACGTTCTGCGGTTTCAGCTCAAAGGATCAAGGCGGTCATCACGGTTCAGGTTGCACTGTCCTTGTTATATGAAGCGAAGTTTGATGTAATTCAACAGGAAGCCGAGGCTGAGAATCGAACTGGTAGGTTCAAACTCTAATTGCATTCCTTGCTACCCTGTCATTACTACAGCTATACATACAATAACATAATCTATCCTTGATATTTTGCAGGGGCCAAACAGCAACCTCGAAACGCAGAGCTGAAGGCCAAGAAGCAGACGATGCTTAAGAATAAAACAAACACATACCTGAGACATACAAAAAAATATAATCAAAGGTTCCGGCCGGTTCCAAGGCTACGTGAGCCAACATTCGAGGAAGTTATGGGAATGGATCTAGAGGATCCCTTCTGGAACGAGGGTGCGCTGAGCCATCCTGACGAGCCTTGGGCAATTTGCCAGAGCACCAAGGAAGGGATTGTGGCCTTTCGAAGCAAGCGATCATGTGAAGAGGAGATTCGACGATTGGGACGAGAAATCCGACGGATGATGCTCTGGGGTATTGACTATCAAGTCCGTGTTGATAATACAAGGCCTCACGGTTAGTGAATTGTAATCCCATTGGTTTATGCTCATTGACTGAGTTGACCATTTCGCACTTTTCCCATAGGCCATAACAGGATTTTAGAGTGGCAGTCGCTTCATAGTGGGCTAGCCAAACGCACATGTCGCCTCTGGAAGCATTGGGATGCTTGGGTTTTGGATGTTCTACAATCCACAGCTCAATATGTCGAAGGTAGCGGTGCCCTCGACGTCAATTTAAAGCTTCAGTGGCAGGCGATGGTAGGTCGCACAGCGGGTGAGTGGGAAATATTACTTGGGGTGCAGATTTATTTAGTAGAAGAGGATAATGTGCCGTTTGAAGAGGAAGATTAGGCCCGGTTATATATTTCCTATTCATTGAATCATGTAAACAAATATTGTCACTTTCTGACATGAACTATCTACGTGTCATGTGTGTAATTAATAATGAACAAGTTCGATTGTATATACCAATCTCCGAGGACTTTATGTGAAACCAGTCCTCAATATTGGTATCAATATTGAGGTTCGACTTTAAAAATACCTATACATTCCAATAAAACTGCAAAGTCAATAGTAAAAAACTTTCCTGGGCGTCAACTTTCTCGATGGTGCCTAAGACTAAGACCCTGATAATGCACATGTACCAAAATACTTGTGAATCATAGGTGAACCGAAAATATATTAACATAACGATTTGTTATATTATCTTTGTTACCCTTTTGATGATGTCGAAATGCTTGACAGGTTCGCATATGATTGTCCTGTCGCAGCGTGGTAGGTACGATACTTTGATGTAATTTGCATATCATCCCAAACCAATAGTTTGTTAAGTTATAAGTGGATTATGTTTTCTTATAATTTTTGTATCAAGAAAAATAGTCTGTGTCTATATAGTGATATAATTTGCATATCATCCCAAACCGATAGTTTGTTAAGTTATAAGTGGATTATGTTTTCTTGTAATTTTTGTATCAAGAAAAATAGTCTGTGTCTATATAGTCATGAAAGAAACGAGCACTTGCGTTGCCACTCAAATCAGAGATCTTTTGGCAGTAAGTTAGGTCTCATTACCTTGTGTCTTGTTCCTATGAAGATGAGAAGTTCGAATGTATCTTATAATTCGATGTCTTAATAAATAAGGTCTTTCTAATTAAGTTCGAATATATCTTATATTTCAATAAATAATCAATAAGCTCTTTCTTATTTATTAGGACATCAAAATTTAGGCAGGGTATCAAGTTTGTAAATTACAAGAAGATGAGAAGATGAATGGCAAGCATTCAAATCTTCACATCAAACTTTAGGCAAGCGTCGATGGTAGGAAGGTTGTATATATGAAGTGTATATAACGTGAACTGTTATATACACCATATATATATAGAACTTACATTGGTGATCATGTGCAAGCTTCCCGGACCCACATCAATTATCTCCACACCGGCTTCTGCGACCTAATGCCGAATAAATGAGAGCCAAAGATCGGATTTTGGGAGGTCACCCATCACTGTTCTTCCTTGCAACCACTGAATATATATTTGCTAATAGTTTTTCGAGTGAGTGACTCATCATCTAAAGATCACCTCCACATCTTCGATTATATCCTCACATGTCTCAATAATGTCTTTGATTATTTTCTTTTCCCCTTCGTCTTACGAGCACGCAGTGTCAGAACATACTGAACACTTCGAAGACGCACAGTCTACGCTCGTCGTCGGCGCGTCGGAACCCCTTTTGTATCCATCGAACGAGCTCACGGGAGACACCACTCTGGATGCTGTCTTCGGCAGCATTGAGACTTTGAAACCGAACCCTGACGTGCAAACTGGTTTGGATGAGGACGCAGTACATGCATTAGAACGGGAGGCGAATCGCGTCCGAACCTCTGCATTTTTACGAGACCAGGCTATCGCCGACGGAACCGTGACGGCTGAGGAGGCCGAAAGCATGGAATTCGGTTATTATTATCCTACCGAAGAAGATATAGATCATATCGCCTTAGAAGAGTCAGTTCAAATATGTTTTTTTCTACTTGTCAGTCCAGTAACATGCTGACAGTCTCAATTGTCTATGTGATAGGCTTGGGAGTCGATACGGTTCATCACCAGGTTCACAATGTTCATTCCAGATTTTATACCGGGCTCGACAGCAGAGAGAGCGCGAACTAAAGTATAGAGTAAATGTTCGAATTAGAGAGGAGGTTAACAGGGAGATGGCCCGGTCGCAAGAGGTATCAAGGCAGAGTTGCGAAAGTCACAAACAAGAAATGGAAAAAAAATGTGGAAAGGATTCTGGAAAGGATTGTGGCAAGGAAACTAGTGCCAACATGGAAACTGGTCCTTGAATTTTATATGTCCTTCCAAAACTTTGTTTCCACGTTTGTTTCCACGCTTTTTTGGCCCTTTTGGCTCTGTTTGTTTCTCATATCACCCATGTACTTGAGAGAGAGATGAACAATCTTGCTGGTCACTAATGTAGGATTGACTCAATTATACGCCACATTAACCTATCAAATCACTTGATTTGATACATAGCCCAAATCAAATCCATTACCTTTTATATCCGTTCGCAAAATCACAAGTCAATTTTTTCAAATTGTCACTTTCACCTGTTGATTTCATAAATATTCTTGAGAATTGGAGCCTATTGAACTTATCATTTCTCCGACGGGACACATAAGTGGAACAATATAACTAGAATTGAATATCACAAAATCTTCTCAAGAAACAAGCACTATCGATACAATACCTTAGTAGAATGTAAGCATGAACATTGTGAATGTTCATGCTTAAAGTGGCTCGGTGCTTTTAATTACTGCTCAGAAAATTCAAGTGGGTATAATGAATTAACCAAAGTGAGATATCAAAAACGCTTAAACAATCGGTCTCAAACAAAACAAACAATCCAAACGTTATTTAAGCTAGTGAGAAGAATTGACATTGAAAGAATTCACAATATTGGTCAACGTAAAAAGATAAATAGTAAGACAACATTCTAATGAACCCAATCTAAACCATATTTCATCTTGTCCTCTTCTTGATATTGTAAGTTTTGGTGGGATTATGAATCTTATGTTTTTTGAAATTTACCTCCTGTGCATAACACTTCACCACATCATGTTTAAATATTGCCCATTCAGCATCAGTTTTCCCAGCCTTCAATTTCAACACCGCATCAATCCTTTGAACAAGTGCTTTGTTGATTTGTAAAGAGCACCCAAATCGCGTGATAGGCGATTCAGCAGGCCAGATTGGGTTCCAACCTTCATCATAAGTTGTTGAGGCTGATGTATGATGCAATTCATCAGGAGCCCAGATGGTCTTGACAACTCCATCACATGAATGTAACAGGACTTCCACGTGGTACTGATCAAGTATGAAATTGCAACCTACAATATCACCCAGGTAGTCCGACTCCAACACACAGTGAAGGTCTCCAGTAAGTCGGTTGATCCGGGCAAAGAGTCCATGCGCGTACGGACTGGCATCTCGGTCGGCATGTGCGTTGTTGTTGAACCCATCGCGCGTGCACACAATGCTAGACCCGACGACGTTCGCGTTTGGAGACTCGAACCAGGATGGATCTGCAAATGAGGGGACTGAGTGTTTGATGGCGAGGGCGCGATTAGATTGATAGGCATGTAGACACAGGGTCGCCATCATCTCCGCTAAAGATTCGTTGATGGCGGCCATTTCTAGCATGCGATCTTCATCTTCCATAATGGCTTCTTCATCCCAGCCTGTCTTGGCGGAGAAGGCGGTAACACCTTGCAAAATAAATAGGACAAGAGGGTTAGAATCCAACTTACTGAATAAACGGAACAAAAGGGAAGGAAGGGAAGGAGAAGGTGTACCAAATTTGCGACCTTTGTCTGATCCCGGTCGAAATCCAGCAGAACGCATCTCACCCCAGTATTCAATCCCCTGCACTGACCCACAAACCAAGACCTCAGAACGAGCTAAAGTATGAGTATAGATATTTTTGATGACAAAGTTGAGTTCGTCCTTCTTTTCGCGTGACATGCCAGAGAAAGGATGAAATCGAATAACTTGGATAACCTTCCATGTATCCGCATCAAGGACCACAGCGTTACCAAACTTGATTTGAATTCGAGGGCGTTCAGGCAGGTTGTTCATGTCGTACTTCTTGAGAAAGTAAAGTCGGCAGTCAATGGGTACACTGAATTTTTCAGAGATAATCTGTCGGAGGGCATTGAAGGTGAAGGCTCGCTGTTCATCCCGCTTTGCATGATTGGTCGGGTAATAGTTGGGTTTGTATCGTTCTCGAGCTTGGTTTTTCTTCTTGCGATAATTGTTGCTGCTGGATGACCGATTTTTCTTCTTCTTCCGTGATAACTGCTTTTGCTCCATGATCTGGGGCCGACACAGACAGAAAGTTGAATGTGATTTAAATCAAGGAATGTTTGTAGACCAACCTGCAAATCGTGAAGGGCTATACAAGAGTAAATAAGATGTGGTAAGAGGTTAGCTGGTCAGTAGTTGGTCATTTTGAAGACTTCATAATTCCTATCAACTCTGTGCTGATAGAATGGGGTTAGAACGCATCGAAGACTACGGTATTGTAACGTCCCTCATTAGGAAACCAATTCCAGTTATCTTCAAGCCCATTCTAACCCCATCCTATCGGCAAGCAGGTTTGACAGGTCATACAGGAACTCATGCTTCTTGAATTGCACCGACGTACCTATAAATGATGAATAGGGCTGATAGGAAAAAAAGATTAACCAATTGAAAGCGCAGCTTGACCTACTTTGAGAAAAGTATCGAGTCAAGACCGTCAAGGATATCAGTCATCAAGGCGAAGTCGAAACAAATGAAATGCGATGGAAGGTCCTACCTCGTGTTGAAATCTAGAACTTCAATCATGAAATGGAGAGGTTAGTTGTTTGAATGATATTGTCTTGTTCTTGGGTACTACACAAAGACCAAAAACGCATTGAGCTTCTTACCTGGTTTTCGTGAGTTGAATAAACAATCCTGAAGAAATATCGACGGTATGGTTGAATCAATATCGATCGGTGAAAGGAGTAGTCGGAGCAAGCAACGGAGGGGGTTGTTCTGCCAGAGGAAGGAAGAGGAGGTTCGACAAGCGTGTTGGTGTTGAAACCACAAGTCGGTCGATATTGCATCGACTATAAACATAGTCGTGTAGACTTGCAGCTACATATAAGCATTTTTTAATCATCAATACAAGCATATTTCTTAACGTGTATTAGATCTATAAGGATTCTTGATCGATCAATACAAGCATATTGCTTAACTGGTATTGGATTTATAAGCATTTTTCAATCATCATTACAAGCATATTGCTTAACTTGTATTGGATTCAAGTCATGGCAAGGCAATTTGGAAAGCATCGATTCCAAGTATGTGGTTAAGAGCTTTGGTGACTTCAGTGTACAATTAGGTCGCTAAACAAATAAGTAAGAAACTATTATTATTTGTGTAGTAACTTCATCTCGTGAAACCATGCTTTGGTTGCGCAATGTTTTGAGAGAGAAAAATAATCATTGAAAGAAAAGATATTATTTTTGAAGTGACAAAAAAAGCAAATTTTCGAACTAAGATCAAAATCTATTATAAGTCAGTATTGTTGTTGTCAATTTCGGGTGCGAGTGGGTTGTCGTCGAGTTCCATTTCTTCTTTGGTCAGCTTCTGATCAAGTTTTCCTTTCCGCTTGCCTAATTTTCTTGTATCGTCTAAGATTATCGTGTATCTCTTTGAGGCGATGTCATCGAGCCAAATCTGGACTTCGTCGTTTGTTAACCGGCTAGGCCCTTTTGCAATCATGTCCTCGTTCACCTGGCTGTCGGGTGTACGGTGAAACGTGAGCGCAACTTGGCCTCGGTATGTTTTCTTACCAAACGCCTCTTTCACATTAGCAACTTTGGGATGTGCATCTCCCTGGCCCTGGACACCACCACGGAGAAATGGTGCTACAAACGAATCCACACATACACACATGAGTTTCACCCATAATTTACTATGGAATGCACAACAAAGAATGACTTACTTATCAAGTTGTTGAGTGCTTGAGTAAGCTCACTCCTTTTGAGTGTTTGTTGGAGCCCTGCTTTTGAGATAGCCTTGGCCTCGCCGTGTTTAGGGCGGAGATACTCTGGCGCCTTTGTCGACTCAAAAGAGAAACATTCAAGCAGATGACTTTTCTTCTGTTGGCGAGCCCAGCGTGCACAGGAGGTATACTCATCCTGAAATAGGGCCTTGCTGGTAGGCGAATTAGGGTTCCAGCATGCGAGTAAAATATGAAATTCCAGATCGAGTTGGTGGTTTAGAACATGGAGCTTGTTTATTGCACATGGTTCATCAGAAACAGGTACTGCACAGTTGGAGATATAGAGTAGGATGAAGGAATGGCTCACTTGCCGTACCACCTTGCTGATCTCGAGCTTGATTAGCTGTTCCCGACTGTGGCTGCGAGATTTACTGCTGTGCCTCCACAGGCGACCTTCATGCAAATCTCCAGCTACTTTCCTCAAGTCAACTAGCCGCTCAAAGATAGGAACATACTGTGCTAGCTGTTCCTCGCTGACTGATGTTGGTTTTTTTGGGTACGTTGACATTTGAGGTCTCGGCCGTCTGGGTATCACTTATTCCAAGGGGTGTTTGGGTGAGTGCGTAGGCTTCACTAGTTGTAACACAGAGATATTCGAATACTTCAGGGCTGAAACTTTCCGTTCTTCTTCCGTGAACGAACTCCAGGTGTTGCCAACCATGGTGTTCCGGTCAGAGAAGCCTTCTGAGACCCCCTTTGGCGGCACTGTAATAACATCAAACGAGTAGAAGGTAAATTCGGGCGGGTATAACTATGAGTGAAGATGAAGGGACATTACTCTTTGTTTGCGTTTGCGGCTACACTGTACGTTTGATAATTCGTGTACATGTTTGGTTCACGGGCAAGTGGTCCTTCCAATCTATGTTTAAGGAAAAAAGAGAAATGAACGGTGTGTAGAATTGATTAAGGAATACGGAATTGGGATTCGGAAGAACTTACAACGCTGCGTCGAGTACATGTCGGCTACACTTGAGAACTATACATAGCATAGTCTTATCAAGATTATAAGCTGCTTGCAAAGCTTGGGCTTCGAATATTCCACTAGCAGATGGTCGGTTGTTTTTGGGTAACGAGAGCTGGGATAACCGTTTCTCTGCATAAGGAAGTCCCCACTTCAACCCCAGTTCATGATAGTTGTTCATATTGGGGGTAGTCGCGTCGGTGTCAGTGACCGATTCATCCAGAGGTGGACTGGTGGGAGCTCGATGTTGATGGGCTTCGTCAGAGTCGTGGATAGGTTCTGGTCCATCTTGTCTAGATCGCTTTTGCTTTGGTTGGCGACTTTGAGATCCGGTATAGCCTCCTCGTCTGGAGCGTGAGTTTTGACCTCGTGGTCTGGGGGAGGGCTGGTCAGATGGCTGATAATTCTCTTGGGAATCTGATGCGTCGCTAGAACACAATGTGGAGACTGGAGGGGGTTCGTCTATATCAGTGGGTTTGCTGCGTAGTCCAGGCCGCATGGTATAGTGAGTGGTTGAGAGAGAGTTATGATCCA